GTCATTCTCACCTATGCCTGATGCTCTGTTTTCAGATTTTCTACTCTTTCAAACAGATTAAGTGATCACCTTTGTATTTATATACACACACCACCCCTTCTGATAAAAGATAATCTTTCTAACACTATGTGTTAAATGGTACATTTCATTTCCTTACCATATTAAAAATAAGAGCTTCCTGCATACTCCTTGCTCAAATTACATGGATTTTCTTTAAGATTACGGCACACACTGTAACAGCAGCATATAATTTTCCTGCAACACTAATTTTTTTCCGGTTGAAAGGTATCCTATAATATCAGCATCAACAGGAACAGACACCCGATTTTCAGCTAGACAAAGCTTATGTATTTGATAACTTTATTCCCTGTAAAAAACAGTTTTCATATATAGAGCAGAACATGAAAATCTGAATACAATCTGGCAACTCATTCTTTGACCACAAAATGCTAGACCAAAAGGAGATGTAAAAATCGTGCCAATAGCAAGATGGTGTAAACTTTTTCCCCCAAGATCCTATTTTTGTTACTTTAATTTTATCCCCATTCAGAAATGGAACATAAGCACTGTCCTTCCTAAAAGCTGTATGGATCCCTTGAAAAACTTAAGTATACAGCATAAAACCTGTTTATCCATTTAAGAAATCTTGTTGAAACAACTGTGTATGTAATTGTGGATAAAAAAGCTGTATATATCCCAAATATCTCAAAACCATCAGCACCTTCCAAAGACAGAAGATTAAAGACCACGCTGCTACTACTTAGACAACGTATTAATTCTTAAAATCTGTTGTGATGCTTTTCAGAGTTATGGAAACTGCAAGTCTTCTGTGCTTCAGAAAGCCCTTTAGCATGAACTTAAAACAGGCAATCTAGGAATCTTGCATTGAGCTATGCCGGTTACAAAATACACATTTCTAATCCCCTCCTCTGCCCTCCCTGAACTACTGGCTGAAGCTCTGTGCTAGAAAAGACACTGGAGTATAAACCAGCATACACAGAAGTTTGATTTTGTTTTAAAAATAAGAAATAAGCAATTTATAGAATTGCCAGTGTCACACACGTGCTCAAAAGTCTGTTAACATCAGCTTCTATTGACTGTTACAATAATAAAGCATTAAGATGACCCAGGTATCACAGCCACATGAGTACACAAAATTAAAATAAAGAAGTTTCATTAAGTTGCAAGGAAGTTTTATAAATATGAACTTTTACTTAAATATTTAGAAGACAAGAAGTAAAAAAATACCAATTTAAAAAATATCACTACTTTTAGGCCAAACTTGTGCTGTTTTCTGTATCAAATTAATAGTATTCTTAAACACAGAATTGACATTGTCTGTAGTAAAATAATTCACTGCAATATAGGTTGTGACCTGTCCAAATGGCAAAAAATAAGTACAGCAAAGCAAAATACGGCAAAATGGTAAGTAAATTTATTCACTCTAGTAGGATGCATATGTACAGTTTTATTTGTTATTATGACTTATTAACCTCTTCCATCATCAATTCGTTAGAATTCACAAAAACAAGTTATATTTTAAAAATCAGTTTTAAGTGAACTCACTCTTATGAAATAGTTCTTACAAACCTACAATTTAAGCGTTTTTAATTACATACCACTTTGTATTATTAAGGACAGTCCTGAGATTTAACTACAAATATGTTAACTACAAATACAAATTTAACTACAAATGTCTTTTGGATGACATATGGCAAGATCTCCAACTCTTTAGCTTTGGAAATTTACATCTGCCTGTTCAATCAAGATGCTAAGCATATGTGTGTGGACAAATACAGAAAATAGCAGATGGCAAAAAGAAAATGCTCAACGTGAAGCATTGGGGATCATTTGGAGAAAGCTTGGGCTCAAACATTTGCCATTTTTATTTTAACAGCAGAACTATGTTTAAAAATAAAATCCACTGTCTATTATGTTTGATGCTAATGAGCTTCTGTGATCAGAATATTCATGACCACAGAATGAATGTCATATTAACTGCAATTGGTATCCAGGATGTGAGTTGCTTTATAAACTTTTGGATTTTAAGATCATCAGCACAGTACCGTTCTTCAGGAGGTTAACTTCTGCTGCTACACATTCGCCAGAAAAGTTTCTGTACTGACCATATAATTTGTCATGAAATCTTTTAATAGGCAATACACGGCTGCGCTCATCTGCTATTCCAGCTGCCACACTGGAGTTATTCCGATAATTGACTGCTGCCACGGCACATAAAAACACCTGCGTGTAGTACTACTACTTCTGCCACCACCATCTCCAACAATAGCTTTAGAAAACCCAAATGAGCACTTTGTCAGTGAGAGGCGTGAAGCTGCCAAGAGCTCTAAGTACAAGCTTTACTTGGGGAGCAAGGGAGTTACTTCATACGAATAGGGCACAACAGATGAGAGGTCCATCCAGTGCTATGCTTTTTACTAACAATGAACAGTGGATGCCTAGGGAATAGTATCAGGATAGGACAAGCATGCAACCACAACGCCCTTGTATATTCCACCAATATTCAGAAGTCCATAGCTCATGGATTTCTGAATCAGAGAGAGTATTTTTTTGTGTTAACATGCCATGGCAGACTTTTCTTTCATGAACGCCTAACTACTCCTACAACCATGTAACACCTTGGACTCAACATCTGCAGCAATAACTTCCAGTATGTGCTATATGAACACCTTTTAGTGAAGGAATGTACTGTAGTCTCCAGTCGCTCCTATAGCTAATTAGTTTTTAAGGTGCATAAAAATAATTGTTGTTTTATACCACCATGCTTTTACAGACTATAGACTGACTCTGCTAGATGCTGTATTAGGAAGGGGAAAAACAAGTAGAGTCTGTAACAGTTCAGCTAAAAGAAAAAGATGAATAGAGACAGGACATATGGTAAGAACAACAGACAAACAGCAGATCTGCCTTGGAGAAAACACCTACAGATAAACATCAGCGGGGCTTTTCAGAGAGATCCATCAGAGATAGCAAAAGAATTCTGATCTGAACAGTAAAAGAAAAAAACAAACATATCTTCATTTTCTCTAACATTTTTTGCTGACTTATCAAATGAAGAGCACTAACCATTTAGTTTAGAAACACAGGTTCTAAAGAAAAGCTTACACATTAAAATAGTATTTTCATCTTCTAAAACTACAGTTACAGATGTAAACAGACAATTGTAAACTCCAACAATTCTCACTTTATACACTTCAAAATAATTACGTGAAAGCACAGTGCTAAAACACAATGGGTCAGTTTCATTAAAAAAAAAAAAATCGTACAGAAAAGGCACTACGTAGTTTCAGTTCTGTGGCAAACAGCTCTGAACAATACTTTACATATGATTCTAGTACCATTATTACATATAGATTCATAATGAAAGAAGCACATTAATTCCATTCAGTATTCAGTTTAAATTAGCCCCCTATCTGAACAGAAGAGGTATTTTACACTGTGGCCCCCTATTGTTTTCTTTAAGAAGAAATAGATAATTATTAATATTTTGTTCACATTTTATTAGTAATTTAGTAAAACAAAAACATTAGCAGGTCCAAGAAAAAAAAAAAAACTATTTCTGTTAAGAGTGCAACTAAGAAGCTTGGTTTCCGAAGCATTCTCCTACATTGATTCTCTAATGTTTAATAGTGAGGACCAAAGGGTTTATTTCCTATATTTGCATGCAAACTTCTTGTAAAGTGTTGAAACTTAAGACTCTAAGTACACAGATCAGTTCCAAAGAAAGTTGGTAAGAAGCACAGAGAAGGAGTAGATGTACAGCAGGATTGCTTAGCAAATCCAACTGAAGAGTATCAAAATCTGTAAATTTGGAACATATTTCATATGGGTGAAATGACCTTTAAAACAGTTTTCACTGGGACTAGAAATAAACAACCAACCAACGCATGAATTTATTTCACCTCTGCCAGTCAAGGGGAGTTTTGTTAATCTCTTCACCTCACTTAAAAATCCCAACTTCTTATCACGCTCATTCTGACACCTCAAACCAAGCAAGATTAGCTGTGCATGTGCTCCCTAATGCCCTGCCAATACTGACGGTCTAGCTTGCAGCTACCTAAAGGAACGTATAAAAACTGAGTTCTGCTCACCTTCTTCCTTCTTCTCTACCAGGTTGCCAGTTTTCAAGAAACTTAGGAATTCAGTTACCTTGGAACGTCTATTTGTCTATCAAATTTGGTTGAAAATGGTCAACAATGTCAAAAAAATACACCCATTTTCCTCAGAAAACCAGGCCAAAGCATCTTTTGATCAAAAAGCCTGAATTCAGGGGAAGGAGTAAAACAGAAGCAAGAATTATACAAAGTAATCTGGTAAAACTCTGAGATTATACAGGTATACCAGGAGTACAGGAAAAATTAAGAGAATTCACGGAACATAAAGTCTTAATGCATGACCAAAAACATGACTCCACAAAAAGGCACCGGAAACTTTCAAATAAAATTGGTATTAACATATTTTCCTCCTATACATTTTCTATTCCATTACTGCAGATTATCAGGAAGAACTTCTTTTTGCTATTTGCATCTGGTCTTGATATATTCAAGGGTTGCATTCAGCACACTGTAACTACAGGCATGATAGTAAATACTGCAAGTATCAATTACCACATTTCATGATTACGTGCTACAAACAATGACCTTCTTTCACTTGTATGCCTGATTATCCAGCACCTGATGAACAAGTATTTGGCTCATAAATTAAAAAAACCCTAAACATTCATGAATGTTTAGTAAAGCTAGGAGACATATCAGTGTTTTGGAATCAGAACAACACAACCCCTCTTTGTGAAACATAATGGTAACTCAAAAACTCCAGATATTTATTTCAAACTTAAACCATCCTCGGTGAACTGGTATCATAAACACACTGTGATTAATTGTATCTATAAAAGAAAGGAAAAACAAAACCTGCATTTTTTATCTTATTGGCTTATAAAATTTATTTTTGCACATCTTGAATAACAAAAACATACTTACTAATAAAGCAAGTTTTTGGTACTTCCGTTTTAGTTCTGCTGGACTGTCCGATGGCTTTGCACCCAGGATTTTGTACCAGTCCTTTTGTGTTATCCTTTCAAAGGCCATAGTCTGGCTGGCTTTGAAATTACTTTCTTAGCACTGTGTCAGAAAATTAAATGAACATAATTACAGTTAGAAAGACAAACAGTTAGAAAAAGCAAAAAATGAGGAAATGTGACAAGCTAAAGAATCATGAAACACATTGCACAACTATATCCCTACACAAGATCCATAGTGTAAAAAACCCAGCTTAACTCACACAGCCATTCCATGCCATAGATTGTCGTACATTATTTAAGTTATGCTATATTTCCTGTCCCAGTTCCTTAGTATATCATGTTTCAGAAGCTGTCCATACTCCTTTAAAAGCATGTTGTTTTAACTGTCTGAACTATTTTGAATCTACCTGTGTTATAGATAATTTTTTTATATATACACTTCTTAAAATAAGCACTTTTTATTTTGAAGCAATACTGCACTTAGCACATAAAAGTGTGTCAGTTTGTCAGTTCTGGAATGAGATGCATGCAAGGTGACAAAAAGGTACAGCTCAGGTTTTGCACCATGATATTCACAGTATGGACCCTCCTTCATCCTGCTGAGTAAGAAGGCTTAACTTTTTTAATACTAAACTGGAAGAGCATATAAAACAAAAAAAAATTTTTAAAAAGCTTATATTAGCACAGGTCCCCAAGTAAAACCTAACTAGTTGGGTGCTTTCTATTTTTGGCCATCTATCATCAAGCTAATCACCCAGAATGAAAAAAGAAACAGGAAAATTAAATGCCAATAATAGCACAGTAATGCTTGAGCTTCAAGCAAATTCTTTGGTATACTTAAACTCCAAGCTTGTAGTAGCAGATTTATACTGAACTTTCTGATAGGAAATTACACTGTCTCCCAGTAGGGAAGAGTTTCGCAAGCTTTGTCAGTCTTTTTTTACTGTCGAAAAAAAGAAAAAGGATTTTTTTTCCATTTTATCACTAAAAACGGTTTCTGGTGACTACCGTCATACTTCAGAATGAACCCTTTTTCATGGGGGAAGAAAAGCATGTTCTTCTAACTGAACTACAAGCGCAGAGAGGGCACACTAGACTGCACAATAGCCCCCCCTCTTCCTTTGGAGAAGCACCACGCCCGCCCACCCCTCCGACTCCACACCTTTCTCCACCAAAACCCCTTTCTCCCGAGGGAACCCACAAGGCTTTTTAAAAACAGGCGAAAACACCAGGGCCGCCCGGGGCCACGTTTTCCCGCCCCAGCCCACCACCCAGGACGCATTGGTCTCTGCGCCACTGCGGAACCACCCCACAGCAACGGCTCCGCGCCGACCGACGAGGCGGCCGGCGGGACGCACGGACCCGGACAGC